CTTTATTTTGATGGTCCATTTGAGTACTAGTAGACTGTCTGCTTAATATCTATTGATACTGCTCCTTCAACAGACATTTAACTGCCTATTAGAAACAAGTCAACTTGCTAGTGCCCCAACCCCAACCTAACAGTCTACTTATAATCTAATGAGAATTAGTTGACATGTAGATTCAATATAACTTAAATTCAACAAACATAGCATCAAAATAAAGGGTGACTAAACAAATACTTTGGAAGTCAATGGTCAAAGGTTTCCATCTTTCTTTAAAATATCTTATTTTGTGTTCAACACTGGTATGTAACTCAGACAGGTTTGGAAGGGTGGGTAAATGATGACAGAATATCAGTTGTGGTGTAAACAAACCTTTTAATATACAGTTGTGTCACAATAAATAGTGAATAGTAAAAATATTTTAAATAAAAAAAAACTCTTTCGACATTAAACCTAGGTCCTGACTCTTTATGGTCATTAAAAGTCCAATAGAACTTCTCGTAAAAGAGTAGGGGTGTAACCCCGGTGTCCTGGCCAAATTCCCTCCATCGCCCCTTATGCAACATGGCCTCCCAATCATCCCCAACCACCGAATTGGCTCTATCAGTGTCTCTCCACTCCAGCAATAGCTTGTGTAAGCGCAAGGGATGTAACAATATTGTAAATACCTTCATACCGCAATAGTAATTTTTTTCAATATTACCTTATAGGCGCATGACTCAATAAAACTATATTTCTGAGAAAAGTTTGCCTAGGCGAATGAAGCGAAGGGAAGGTAGCGGGAACTACAATTCCCATCAGCCCAGGCGTGGCCATCATCCTTTGCGGTCTGTTGTCACTACAGATCCAGTAATGCGGAAATGAAATGTGTGCTGATAGTAGCGGGGAAGAAAAAGAGCTAGTAATGATCAAACCTAAAGAGAGTTTAAATCGGATGTGTGGAAGCATTTCGGTTTCTTTCTAAAAAGAGACGAAAAAGGAGAAAAGGTGACAAAGAAAAAAGAGGTATGCAGGCACTGCCAGACTGTGGTGAAATATAAGTCGGGGAATACGACTAAAAACAGTCATGGGGACTGCAGAACACAGCACACTTGTTAGATTGATGCAGACATTGACTTGTACCGCAAAGAGACCTCTATCTCACTCATGGCTTGTCCTCTCAAGTGGTGGAAAGACAATGCACAACGTTACCCACTGCGGTCAACCTTGGCTAAATCATATCTCTCTGTCCCAGAAACCTCAGTCCCAAATTAGAGGGGTTTTTTTTCTGTTGCAGGGGACATGCCCAGAGATCCCAGCTTTTACCTGATTATAGTTATATGATCATTTTCCTTAAAAAACCCATCTCTATCTAAGTGAGTGAGTGATTAAATGTTGAATGTGAAGATTTTTCAACAATACTAAATTGAAACTTAATTTTTTTTATATGGTTTAATGGTTTTTTTTTATTAAAATTGAAAAATTGAAGTTCCTGTTTAGAAACTTACAGATAGATGGCTAATTTCTATGTCATTGATATGTTCAGTGCTAAGATAAATAAACACTTTTGGCACTTTTTTTGAGTCTCTTTATTAGTTTTGTTTTTCCGGTAAATTATTCAGTAAATACCTTACTGTGCCATTCATACCGAGGTATTACCGTACCGTGAAATTCTGATACCGTTCCATCCCTAGTGAGCGCACTGGCACTGTTGTCCTGTGGCTGCTGTCACGTCATCCAAGTGGATGCAGCACATTGGTGGTGGTGTGAAGAGACCCCCACCCCCCCACTCCCCACCACCCCCCAACACTTTTTTAAAAACTTTTTTTTGGTTTTGTCTTACCTGCTTTCTGGAACCATTTTTCACCAGACTCAAACCCTGTTGTCGCTGTCAACTCGGTTATGTGTCTCAAGATTGCTGACATACATGTCGAGCTAACGGGCAAACTGGCAACAGTGGAAAAACTGTCCATACGGAGTTGAGCGAGAAAGGTAACGGCATCATACCGCCCCGTAGCATTTGTTTTAAAGTATTTTTGTTGAATTATACCATAAATCAACTCACTGACGTGATCTTGTCCAACTGGTTGTCAATTTTATTGTGTTTATATGCCTCTGACAATATTATTAATGTTTTTTTTATGACCAGACTGCCTGCCAATAAACTTCTTGCTGACAGCTGAGCCAGCCTGATCTCACGAGAAAACGTAAGTATTTTACGTTTTGCCAGTTTAGTGGCTAACTCGTACGAGTTCAGTCATAGGAAATTGTATGATTTTAAAAAGGAGGCGTGGCACCTAACCCCACCCCTAACCCCAACCGTCAATTGCGGAATGAGCAAATCGTACTAAATTGTAAGAATTAGCTTGTACAAACTCATACAAATTAGCCACTAAATCAAAAAGTTACGAATTGCCTTGAGATTGTGTTGGCTAAGCTTAATCAAGAATCACTGATATTTAGATAACTCGTCATTTCATCTTAATACAACCAGTTAACTGAACCTTTAAACTACAGTGCACAATAATAACTCACCAGTAGAGTTTCAAGAGTTCACACTTAGCTGATGATTGATAATAAAGCCTGTTTGGTATGCTGTTCCAGGAGAGAGCCCTGAGCTTATGAGATCCTCGAGCCCTGGGCTCCCTCCCGTTTGCAGGGCGAGAGGGGAGTTTGAGCTCAGGTAGATCTCGATGATTCCCCACGGCTTATTTGTAGCTAAGTAATGGATAAGCATGACTGAGGAGAGGTGTACTTGATGAGTGCTTGCCTATAAATTTTGTGTGTTCAATTTACCTAGGGTGCAGGTTATTTGGACTGTGGGAGGAAACTGGAGAACCCAGGGAAAACTCCCAACAGAAATGTCGTCTGGGGGTTGGGGGAGTATTGAGATAAGAAGACTCATTTATAGTGAGTTAGGAATCATCTGATTGGATAATTGATCACGAGCTCATGCTGGAACAGCTGAGAACAATCATAAGCACGTGATCCTTTCGAAATTTGTTTATAAATAAACTTCATGAAGTAAAATACTTTTATTTAATCAGTTGTTTTACAGTGCATGCTTTACATTCGTTATGTTACATGTTACAAGTTAGCAGACAAGCAATCCCAAGTCAGAGTTTGGAGAATGTGTGTATATTAAAGGGCACTTATGGTAAAAAATCTACTTTTCAAGCTGTTTGGACAGATCTGTGTGTTGGTATAGTGTATAGACCGTCATACTGGGGTGATATGAACACACCCAGTCCTTTTTTTTTCAATTTAACTACAAAAAAAGGGTCGGCCAATTGGAGCTGTTTCCAAATCGACCCGCCCACCGAATTGATTGACAGCTGCGCGCATTAACATGTTCAGGTAGTCGCGTGTATATGTCAACAAGACCAGGCAGACATACGCAAAGCAACCGGGAATAAAAGGTCTGTTCTGTTCCCTAGGATCAGCAATCATCATCAAATGTGATTAAGAGTAAGTTTCACATGTTTAAAGTGTTTTAAAACAGAGTATGTGTGTAATTAATTACAGCGTTTTACTTCAGCTTTACTTCATCAGCACAGCCGTGTGTCAGAACAATTATAAAAGAAGACGCTTCAATCCCGGTTTGTGGAAGTTAAATCAGGTTTATATTTTACATTAGCATAACAGATATCCACACAGTACTTGAGGTTAGCCTTAGCTAAGCTAAGTGCGCTCTGTCTGTCTGTCTGCCTGCGTGCGTGTGTGCTTGTGTGTGTGTGTGTGTCATCTGCGGTGTGCGTGTGTGTATCTGTGTGTGTGTGTGTGTGTGCGCGCGTTAACTTTGTAACGATATTGTGTGTGACTCATCAATGCAACTTCACAATACTGATTAGTAAAGGTTAGTTCTTACTGTAGTATCTCACAAACGCTACGTGAGACCTTCTTCCTTTAAGTCTGTCTGTTGTCTGACGCAGCTGAGGGAGGAGGCATGTAGAAACAGTTGGCGGGAAAGACTAGGCTTAAAGGCGCAGTACGACAAAACCACCCCCTGCTGGAAATCAGTATAAAACAGCATCTTGTAAAAGGTATAATGAAAAATCTGTTGGGTATTTTGATCTGAACTTTATATACACATTCTAGAGACGCAAAAGACTTATATTAAATCTGAAAAAAGTGGTAACTTAGGTGCCCTTTAAGACAGACAGAAAAAAAGTTAAAATGATTAAAATCCCATTATGTTCATGGACATCACATCACATACCCAGATTCAAATCACCAATATGTAGATAAACAAATGATTTCTTCTTTAAACATAATAATTCATTCATTCTCTTCCCTTCGGCTTAGTCCCTTTATTCATCAGGGGTCGCCACAGCAAAATGAACCGCCAACTTATCCAGCATGTTTTACACAGCGGATGCCCTTCCAGCTGCAACCCAGTACTGGGAAACATCCATCCACACACATACATTATGGCCAATTTAGTTTATTCAATTCAACTGTACCGCATGTCTTTGACCCCTGGAGGAAACCAAAGCAACCAGAGGAAACCCACGTAGAATGAGGAGAGCATGCTGACTCCACATTGAAATACCAACGGACCCAGCCGGGGCTTGAACCAGTGACCTTTTTGCTGTAAGGTGACAGTGCTAACCATTGAGCCATCATGTCACCTTTAAACATAATAATCTGTATCATTAATATTATCATCCATACTAGTAGTTATTAGTCCAGGAATAAAGTCAAACAATTCTTCCTTATTCCAGATATTCAACTTTTGGGGTTTGCAAATATTTGTTGTGGTGATAATGACAACACAGATGATGTAAATTATGTCAATGAACAAAAAAAGCAAGAAACAGATTGCGTCCAAGCGGTCAACAAAGGCTTCGTTGCTGTTTGCCTCTTGTTCCTTTTGGTCCACCCTTTCCAGAAACTGCACTATTTTCTGGATGGAATCCATCTCTGTTTCACTTGGGGTTTTTGTCACAATCGCACCAGCATCTGCTAACGGAGACCATATGACTGAACACAATTCCGAAATGTCTGAACTTTTTTGCGTTCGCATTATTGAGTATTCTTTACCTTCATCTTGATCCAGATGGGTATTTTGTCCTTTCTTTCTCTTTAAACATTTAGAATTTAGGATGCTGTCAGCAGTCGTCAGATGTGTCAGCACTACAGACATCACCATGCTCAGCACCAGATTAACCAGACAGAAGCAGAAGTGATAATCTTTAAAGCAAAAGCCAGATTACAACTTAGTATACATTTGTGTGAAAAAACCCTCAGCAGTGCCTCAGGGTTCAGTACTATGCACAAATCTCCACACTTGCATCAGATATTAATGCAATACCATATTTTCACTAGGCCATTGGGAGAAATCATTGATGCTTGTATGGTTATTGGCTTGTATCACGTAAGAGGAACTTATGAGCTGACCGGCTCACAAGATCCTTATCATTTTTAAACATATCAAAAAAGTTTGGTAGCTGTTGGCTTTAATTTGTGAGGTGTGTGCAGTTGCACAAGTCCACCTGTCAATCCATCTGAAACTGACCAATCAGGAGGGCAAACTAACAGAACAGGGAGTGAGTGAGGTGTTATGGATGATGTATCATGCATGATAGAGTCATCAGGCATGAATGAACACCTTTAGCTCTTAAAGGGACACTGACCCAATCTTAAATTTTTTCAAGTGCAATTGTGGACTTGCAGACTTAGGGTGTACTCACACTAGGCAGTTGTCTTGAACCATGCTTAGGCATGATTGTCCCCGCTTAAGTCATTGATGATGGGGCTGTTTAGTTTAAGAGAAGTGCTCTCGCTCAGTACAATGTAGATTACATTAGTTAAAAATTAAAGTCACCATGTTTCACGCTTACTAAAAGTGGCAGCTGTCCTGCAGTGAGGGGTTAGTTTCTTTAAAGGGCACATAGTTTACCCCTTTTTTATGATATAATATTAATATTCTGGTTCTTCTGAGTGTGCCAGTTTAGGTTCAGTTCAACACACAGTTCAGATGTTTTTATTAAAATGTGTTAAAAAGTGTCATGTTGGGGGCGTTTACACAGTTTGCTGTTTTAGGGGCATGTTGCTTCACAGTTTCAGCTTCCCGCCGAATGAAACAAGGGGGCGGAGCCAAGAGCTCCTACGCTCTGCAACCCAAGCTCATTCTGAAAACAATAGCACCGCGGACGTTTCTGGAGAACGCGATTTACGTGGCTGGAGGTACGTAAGGCCGCGTTTAGTTTTTTCCGAGCGAATGCTGCGGGGCGGTGCGGCACCGGATCGAGTCCGGGGAACAGCGGTTCCGGAAATCAGGTAAGACGAAAAACGGAATCCAAAAAATAAGGGCGAGAACGCGGCGGGATCTGAAAACGCGGTCGAAATCGAAGACTTTTGCTTTTTATTTTTTTTTCTGGACGGCTATTGCGAACTTTCACTCGCGTTTAGGGAAGGAGAAGGAGGAGGAAGAGGAGGGCGGCTGAGTCGGCCGATCCGGCGGCTTTTTGCGCGAGAACGGCGTGGGCGCGAACGGCGCGTGCTCCCGAGAGGCGCCCGAGACGCGAAAAAGCGCGCACAGAGGCCTCTCGCGGATCCGCAAAAACAAAAACCGCTCGAATACGTACCTCCCGTGACGTAAATCGCGTTCTGCAGAAACGTCCGCGGGGCTATGTTTCCACAATGGGCCCGGGTTGACGCTCTGTGTTTACAACAGACAGGCTGACAGACAGAGAGAGAAGCTAAGCTATGCTAGGATGAGCATTCAGCCGTACATGTTCGACCCGGACACAGTCCAAGCAGAGAGTACAAAATCATTTGTGTCTTTGAAACATGAAGTGTCCCGAATCGTCGCGCCCCTCCAGAACTCTAAACACAAGCCTCCACCAGGGCAAACACAATGGCGCCATGCCGAGCCGCTGACCCGAAGCTCCGCCGTGTGCACTGCGACAGAAACCCACGCCGCACACAAGCCGCTGACCTGAAGCTCGGCCACGTGCATCACGACAGAAAACCTAGCCGCGCCGCTGACCCAAAGCTCCACCACGTGCACCGCGACAGAAACCCATACAGCGCTGAGCCGCTGACCAGAAGCTCCACCGCGTGCACCCCGACAGAAACCCACGCCCAGAACCCCAAAATGCACGGCGCCACGCAAAAGGTACAAGCAATAAATCCGATTAGATCGAAAATGTGGAGAATATTGATCTTGTGTTGAGCCCAATGAGCTTTTCATCAAAAAAATAGAGCAAGGGTGTTCCTTTAGTGATATCGCTTTGACTCACATGCTAAAAATGGCAGAAGTGCAACAAGTAACTGAGGATATGATCGTGAAGCGAGGCTGTCAATCAATATTGGTGGGCGGGGGGACCGCTCTCCTACGTAAAGTTGCGGTCGGTCTGAAAACCGCTCCAATTGGTCCACCGTTTTTTGTTGTTAAATTGAAAAAAAAAAAAGACTTGGTGTGTTTATATCATCCCAATATGACGGTCTATACACTATACTTGCACACATGTCTGTCCAAACAGCTTGAAAAGTAGATTTTTCACCATAGGTGCCCTTTAATAAACTGTGACAGTTCACCATCATTGAAAAGTAAGAATGATTAAAAAAATCCACATGAAACAGTTCCGTAAAAGTTCCGTTGGGTTTTGAGTTTCGCATTTTGCACTTTAACCCCCTGGGGTTGAAGACCGCGTATACGCGTTCTGACAGGTTTTTACCTCATTAAGCTGAAATGAACCTAAATTACACTTTCAGTTTTGATCGTACAGATAAGATCAATACATCAATCAAATCTGTTAGGTGTCTAGTTTTTAATGTGTACACTCAGCACAACAACAAACGTGTGTGCTTTTGCAAAACAAGGATAATAAACAGTGTAGGCAATCTGTCTTTTCTCTCTCTGTGAACTGTTTTTAGAAATGCGTCAGTAAAATGTGCTGAAACTCCGCGAAAACAAAACACCAAGAGATGAGACACATATCTTTAGAAAGCTTGAAGTGTCTACTTTTAAATGCAGCTATGCATGTTGAAAACAAATACTGTTTGATAAAGTAATCAGTATGAAACCAACGCTATGTCTAGTTGCTCAGTCTGAGCTTATTAGAGGTAATGCGACCACGCCCACGAGGCTTTGATACTACAAATAGCCTGCATGAGAAGCGCGCAACAGTAGACTGTGTCAGGAAAAACACGTCATTAAACTGAACTGAAACTCAGCAAACACTCAACAAAGAAATACCAGAGATGTTTCTAAAGAAAGCGTGATGTCTGCTTTTGCATTACCCATTCAAATCGAAAACAAATAATCCCTTTCATGTAATCTGTATAAAAGTAAGGATTGGTCTGGATTCTCCTAAACATCGACAAAGAATTTACTTTCTCCTTAGCGGACGAGCACGACTCTGGTGACATGCGCATGCATTTTGAAGGACGTCAAGACCAGGGGTGGGCAAACTCGGTCCTGGAGGGCCGGTGTCCTGCACAGTTTAGCTCCAACCCTAATCAAACACACCTGCTTATAGATTTCTTGTGATCTTAAAGACACATATTAGCATGTTCAGGTGTGTTTGACTAGTGTTAGAACAAAACTCTGCAGGGACACCGGCCCTCGAGGATCAAGTTTGCCCATCCCTTGTCTAGACCCAGCAAAGGACAGAATTCCTGTCGAGTAAGTCTTTTTTTCTAACCTTTATTTTTTATATGAAATATGTCCTTACATAGTTTCATTGCTATACAAAGTGTATCCTATAACATATAATGATAAACATAGGCCTATATAATGAAAAATGTAATTTTATATGAAATAAGCAATCATATACAAGCATAGCACACCTAAGCCTAACCTAACCTCGCTCTGGCACATCTCTTATAACCGGGCCAGGGCCGGCCAACTTAACCACACCTGGGCTTGATTCGGAGCACTCATTCTTGTCAAACAAACTGGGAAAAAGTGGTCACATGTGTCTGGGAATGGTTTGGATAGCCTAGTGTGAGTACACCCTTAGAGTGGTTTCTGTGTGTCACTTAAGTCCATGAAACCATAGAGTGAATATTAATTCAGAATGGTGCCTGTAAGGTCCTGTTTTTGGCTGCTATGCCACCTCAGTGTACACTTCAAATGAGCCCACACTGAGAGCTCAGAGCAGACTTCTAACCAGTCAGTCAAAGCAGCATTGAATCATGAAAATTAGGACTCAAATAAAAACCACAAGAGATTAATGGACCATTTGAGATTGGGTTGTAAAGAGTTTAACTTTAATTAAAGACTTCTGTTCCAGTTAAAAAAAGGTTTTATGAGCGTTTAAAACTTCCAGGAGTGATATTGGTCCCACTTTATATTAAGTGGCCTTAACTAATATGTACTTACATAGGAATTAATAATTTGTTACAATGTACTTATTGTGTAAATACATGCATTTACTGTGTACTTATGCTTGATTAAACACATGTATGTAAATACATCTGTAATTAACTTTTGTAATTACATTTGTAAATAGACTGTGGACCATCCCTTTCACCTTAACCCACCCTTAAACCTACCCATGCCACCAAACCTGTCCATAACCCAACCTCTATCCCAACTCAAAAGCACCACAAGTGTTCTCAAATACATTATAAACACAGTAAGTACATTGTATTTACTTTTTGATGTGAGTACATAGTAGTTAAGGACACTTAATATAAAGTGGGACCTTGATATTATATTTTCTGTAAACCCTACAGACAAAATCCAGAAGCACGTCATCACAGGATGCATTTGAAATGTATATATAGGCTGACATGGATTTAGTAAACAAATAAATAAATAATACACAAAACAAGTGTTGCTGGTTGCGACTTATTTCACAGCAATTTTTAATATGTTCAACTTGTGGTTGACCACTCGTTCAAATTATGTTTAGGTATACATGAAGGTAATGTTTTTCAGTTACCCATGGCAACAGTGAAAGGTGTTGCCTTGTTTTTTACTTACGGAGGAGAGGGCTGCACGCTCCACCGCTGGACAGACGATCATTGAGGATGAGGAGAAACATGGTGAAGCTCAAGACCAAGGTGACCTTGAGGTTGTTGCGTTCTCCTCCTGTAATGGGCAGAGAAAAGCTCACCAGGTCTGCCAGCATTATTAGTATACTGGGAAGGATCAGGGTCACAACAGCACTGAAAGGATTGATGGATAAAGTCACCTGTTAACAGATCAGGGAAAGAATATCTTAATTGAACCTACACACAAACACAGATGGATATCTTTACTGAATTAGAAATAATACTTTGTTGTACTATTTTAATAAAAGGCAGCGTATAACCGTACGTTCACACCGAAAGCGGCGAGAGCGTCAAAATAGCCGGAAGTCATTCATTTTCAATGAGAGCCGGCGGCGATAGGCGACGATAAACGGCGAGGAGCAGCGCGGCGCGTCTTCGCCGGCGTGAGCGTCGAGGAGAGTTGAAATGAAGTCAACTTTATGGTAATGAGCTATGACGCGGTTCGGCGGCAAGCAATCAGAATAAAGACGCCCACCGCTTGATAGCAGTTCAGGGAACACAGACCTGTGAACTTTGGTTCCGACCACAGTTGTTCCCAAGGGTTTGATTATTGCGGTCGCCGGATTTCCAATTATTTACAATGTTTTCTTACAGGAACATACATTAAATAAGTTACTGGCGAGTTACTGATGTTCATCAATGTTATGTAAATTTATCTTTAAAAAGCGGGAATCTCACGCGATGTGACAGTACAAAACAGTACTGCTGCTTCAGGATATTTCAGACATATGGACACATATTGGATAAATAGAGCAAAGCCACACCACACGCAACTTGATCTTCCATTGTTATATGAATTTGATAAGAAGTGTGCAACATTTTCACGCTAGAAACATGTTTTATGCAGGAATGTAACTGATAATGCTGCAACGGCTCCTTTAAGTACGAGATCAATGTAGCGAGTTTTGACGCTCTCACCGCCGAAGCTGAAGGCAGACAGCGTTGTCGCCAGGGCGGCCAGAGCGACCTTGGACGCTCTCGCCGCTTTCGGTGTGAACGTACGGTAAGAAACTTCTAGAGTTAAATAACCCAGTTGGGATTCCTTGCGGAAGTGTTTTTAGACATGCCAAAGATGTCACCAGCTGTAGGGGCACCAATGAGTGGACACAAAGCAAGTAACCCTACGATGCAACAAGTGTGCTCTGACTGTGTACCAGTAGTTTTGGTATAGAAAGTGGGTGCTCTTAGGATGCTAAACACAGCAGACTCCAACATCTGAATAGCAGAAATGAGTGTAGGTTTCAAGTGGTTGTTTCGCGCTGCTGTAAAACTATACACACTACACTATAGACATTACTATCCGTGGATGAAAGAGGAGGGGGGGGTTGTTGTTGATGTAACTCTGGGGGCCCCAAAACAACAAGGGCCCTTAAAATCGTGCTAACCTTCCCCTCTCTAGCAGCACTCGTGACTTTGTATATACTAAAGCAGTGGTTCTCAAACTTTTTTTCATCAAGTACCACCTCAGAAAAAAATAGTCTCTCCAAGTACCACCATAATGAGCAGTATTGAAATACGTAGCGTTGTAGACCAAATTAAGCAACTACAGCTCTGCACAGTTCAAAAACGTGTCAGATTAATTACTATTATTAAGAATATTTATTATTGTCAGCCACTTTAAACATTATAAATAGTCTAAACGTTAGGACTTTACTGTGCTTATATGTAAAAAAAACAAAAAGAAAAAGTAAAAACATCAACATTTAAATTAAAATGTGCTTTAAAAAGTTAAAAATGGTAGGTTACTGTTCTTAAAAAGTAAAAAGAAAACAGCTGTACTGAAATGTAAAGTATTAACATATAGTATATTTGGGCTATACGTTGTCATTTTCAAATACAAATCATTTTGATAAATTTTGAAATATATGTAGCATGTACATATGACATATTTGATTCCTCCGCGTGCCACTAGAAGGAAGCTCGCGTACCACTAGTGATACACGTACCACAGTTTGAGAACCACTGTACTAAAGTGAATAAAATAGCCTTGTTGGTGTTTCAGTGAATTTTGTTCTCAAAAAGCAAAAAGCTTCTAAACTTTAAACCCATTTTTTTTTCCAGTTTCCTTATTTTTATTACATACAGAATTATTTAAAGTATAACACATTGTTATTTACAATAACTGTGTGGTTTTAAATCATAGGTATATACATTAGATGTTGCCTACCCTGTAGTTGTCTGTTGGAACGAATGCGTCAATGGAGCCGCCATTTTGGAACAGGGTAGCGCTCCTTTGAAATAAATGAGGGACCAAAGTACCGTGGAGGACTGTGGCCATCCAAAGCCAGAGATATACACTTATACACATATATCTATGATCGTGAGTTTTCCTGGATGTTCGTATGCAATTTTTTTTTTTTTAAATTACGAAAGTTTTAATTTTACATCACTTTTCTACATTGATGGATCAGTGATTGCACGGGCATTCCTGACAAAAAGCTTGTGTTTGTGTGTAAAGAAATGTTCTATCCACCCTCCCTGTTAAATCTGATCTAATCCGTGTCCTGAAACACACCTCCACTCTTGCTTTCACTTCTCATACTGACGGAGGGAGCGATTCGCTTGTGAACGAAAGCCCCGTTATGAACGACTCGTTCACTGGCCGACAATAATACAAGTTTCTGGCACCGCAGCATGTCGTTGTCATATTTCTTTTGCATTGTTTGCTGATTTAATTCAACAAAACTAGCATAAACTGAATATTTAGTGCGAGTTGGAGCTAATTTGCCGTATGGTGAAGGCAGTAAGTGACTGTATTATCATCAATAATGTGACCTGTTGAACACAAAAGTTCAGAACATACAAAAACAGAAAAAAACTTAATATTACCTATGAAATGTTCTGCCTTTGTGCTTTGTTTTCTTTGTTTGCTCGTTTCTACACCTGTCGACAGCGCTAAATTCCCGCATCTTCACGTAATAACACTGTCTTGACTAGTGCGGTTGAATGACACTTGTCCTGGGAGCACTGTACCAATGTGGCGCGCTATTGACGCATGCTCAGGGTCCCTATGCGATATCTACTGTATATATCTATGATTTTAAATAATACTTTATCTCCTAGAAAAAATAAGGGGATCAAAGTCCATAGTTACCGAGAGATATCTGAGGTACTGAAAATCTGAATCTGTAGTTATTTCCACTTTCAAAGCATTCCATTCACCACTCTGAGTATTCCCGGACATAGATATGTTATTTGAGTGTTGAAGTATGAGCCCATAACCTAAATCAACACATACAAGAATATTTAGTGTGTTTTTTTTTACTTTGTTTCATTATTCAAATATCTTTTAAGGATGTCAAGGAAGAACTTCTCTAGATAAAAACAACAACAGTGGAAATCAATTCACAAAACAAAAAGGTCAACTTACTGCTTTTATTCCATCCGTTGATGGCCACAGGACAATCTCCTGTCACAAAGGGGTAAGTGAAAAGGTTGATGTCACAGCTCACTGCTATGAACAAGATAACAGCATGGTCCACAGTTCCTTCCACCGTCACCAGTACATCTTCTGTTTGTGGCTTCATGGTTACATCTATCCTGGTTGTACAAAAAGAAAACACAACATTGCTTATCTTAGGGTGTACTCATACTAGGTACGCTTGCCTTGAACTTTGCAAGGGAGCAATTGTACCCCCTTCCCTCTCTCCCGATGGCCCACACTCGCATTGCATTTTTTACCTTCTGAAGGCTGATTTATAGTTCTGCATCAATCGCACGCGTATCCTCCGGCACAGCCTGTGTGTAGTTGTGTAACGGAGGCCAGCTAGTGAGTGCTGTGCAGGTAAACCTCACTCCTTTGACCTCTAAAGGTGCTCTGGCGACAGATGCTAGAGGCCATGGTCTTTAGCCTCCTTGTTAGAGCAACCGATTCTCAAGCGGAAGGTCGCCGGTTCGAAACCAGCTTGGAGAGGGTTGAGTGGCGTACGACCGGCGGGGTTACATTGGTGCCGTGACCCAGATGGGAGTGAGGTTTAGGGGGTGAGTGTAACGGAGGCCAGCTAGTGTGTGCTGTGCAGGTAAACCTCACTTCTCTGACCTCTAAAGGTGCTCTAGCGACAGACCCTAGGGGCGATGGTCTTTAGCTTCCTTGGTAGAGCAACCGACTCCCATGCGGAAGGTTGCCAGTTTGATAATAGCTCGGAGCGGGTTGGGTGGCATAGGACCGACAGGGTTACATTGGTGCCGTGACCCGGATGAAAGTGAGGTTTGGGGGGGTAAGTGTAACGGAGGCCAGCTAGTGTGAGCTGTGCAGGTAAACCTCACTCCTCTGACCTCTAAAGGTGCTCTAGTGAAAGATGCTAGTGGCCATGGTCTTTAGCCTCCTTGTTAGAGCAACCGACTCGCCGGTTCGATCCCAGCTCGGAGCGGGTTGGGTGGCGTAGAGTCGGCAGGGTTACAGTTGCATAGTTCTCCCCGTGGCGGTCGCTGATGTGCACCTCTCTAAAAATTTAACTACACGTCACAATGACGTGTAATGCAAGCTCTGTGATTAGTCAGCTTGGTAGCCTAGATGAGTGTTGCGTGAGCCCGATGGAGCGAGTGTTTAGAAGTGTGGAGTCCCATTAAGGAGCTCGAGATGGAAACTGTTGCTTTGTGTTTACCTCATGATAAAAGTTGTTGCGCGTCCGCCGGTTCCCGTCTCAAAACAAGGAAGTTTGAAAAACTTCTAAATTAAGGTAGTGTTAAAAAAAAACAAAACACCAGCTAGTGCCACTCACTGCCAGCTAGTGTCTTAGAAGTGTTATTGCAGAACAACACAAACAGCGAGCAGAAGTATAAATGCACGACAACGCGCAAGTTATGCACCGTGGGTTACATCAATCACTCGAAGCAGAAGTATAAACCAGGCTTGAGCCCGAGCATGCTAACGTCATTGATGATGCTTTAGTTCTGTTGTTTTGTATTATTTTGAGTTGTTCAAGATGTGGTGACATGCAGTTTAATATTTTGCTGAACAGATCCAACACTTTTACCCAAGTGGCAACCTCCCACTTTCCCTCGGAAAGCCAATACGGAAGTAACTAAAGCTGCAATTCATCGACTCGCCTTGGGGGGGCTGGCTCCAGGAAATCCATATGATTTCCAACTGCAATAGTAAACTGGCCATTTTTACAGCTCATAAAAACATGTTTACAGCCTGGTACAAAAGAGTGCATAAAGCTTTGATTACCCCTTTTGACAACTGTGAGGGGGTGAATTTTTTTATAACTCATCTGTTTCGTTTTTATTAAGTTTTATCAATGCTGTGACAGCTAGGTCACATCACCACAGCTGATTCTGGCTGTATACCCGCTGAGCTCGGCATATACATCGTGTTTTTGTTTTGTTTAATTTTTTTTTACACAGTCATTTGCCTTTTGGACTTATTTCCTGCAGTTATCAGATACTATAGCATGCTGTGTGCACAAACCGTTCAAATTGCCTCCATTTGAAATTATATACTTATAAACCATATCTATAAATGTATTCATTTTACTAAATGATCATGTATCATTTAGACCTGTAAAGCACTCCAGAATCTGACAGATTGACCAGCTGTAGGCTATAAAACAGTATCTGAAACGTCATACAGTGTTATGCCTGGATTTCAACAACAGTCTTGCATTTGCTAACACAGACTATATTTGAAGTGTCTGGAAATAATTAGCATTTTCCTCCTGTAGAAAAACGTCATAACAACAATGTTTGCTCAATGTATTACAGCAGTGTTTTTAAAAGCCTAAACACTTTATTGATATAGTTTACAACCAAGCACAAGTTGTCAGAACACAAAACGAGTTGCAGGTAATGAAGTCTTTAGCTTTTCTCCCCAAAAAAAAGTCTGTCTAAAACCAGGTCTAAGCAAAATGCCAGAATGTGTCGGTAGCTCCACTCACGGTCAGCCTCTTTGCCCTTTTTTGGTATCCCACGGTCAATGTGAACCTTGCCTGAGTGCGATTTAGATCACTCACACTTGTCAAACGATCTGGGAAATGGGCTCAAATGTGCCACACAGAACTCCACACAGAAACGCAGAGGCTCGAACCAGCGAACTTCTTGCTGTGAGGCGACAGCACTACCTACTGCGCCACAGCGTCACCCCCTTCTATGGATGAAGGCTGAAATTAAACACACTGAATCTCTCAAAATCTCAACAAAGGCTCATTAAACAACTCCACAAACAGAACCAGCAGCTTCACGTATTACTAACCTGTTTGAATTCATATCTAGCAAACCTACAAAAGTACTAAGTGATGTTTTATAAACAAATTTCGTGAGGAGCACGATCAGTCTTTGACGAGGCTAATTCATCACACACACAATCATTGTATTATCCAATTAGCAAATTGTTATTAGTATTAGCAAACCCCTATAAATAGTCAAACACGTCATACCTCCATTTTCTCTCGACTTCAGCGTCCCTTCACCACCCCAACTCCACACTATTAAACCAGTTACCATTTTAATTCTGTGTGTGGGGGGTGGGGGGAAGTGGATTTTATACTCTTTAAAGTGGGACGTTAATCTATATATTCAAATTGTATGTGTATAATCTGCTTGTAGACTTGCATACCATTAAAACAATTAAGGTGTTATGTAGAGTTAGAAAGGGGAAATGGCAGGAGGAAACAACTAAGGGTCACAAAAAAGGGATGAAAAGAGAGTGGTAAAAAGCCTGAGGTGTCTCAGGAAACATGTCAGAGGTGGAATTTGGGGTCAGGGGTTAAAATAGGAGGGATCTTGTGTGACATATGAAGAACAAAGGAAAAAACTGTTGTAAAAGAGTGTTTAAGCAGGCCAGAACATGAGTGAGATTTTTCAGACAGAGATGCTACTGGGGGTCTCCTGAAAATTCTCCTTTGTTGTCGACAATAAAGTATACTCTTCTGATATTCATAACCTCCAGACTGAGTTTGATTTAGTGAGAGAAAAACCAAAAACCACGACACTAGTCACTGCGCTCGGACCCTATCTCTCTTTATCCTGATAATGGGAATAACACGAGTTAGGGTGTCTTCCCGAACTCAGAGCCCTCTCCCCGGACATCACGCCCAATACGTATATTCTATTCAGTCAAATATCTGTGAGTGTGAACTCGTGAAGTCAGTTATTGACAACAAAGCTTGTTACTTTTACTTTTCAGATCACTATATATTTAGTAGTTGTGTTATGGCAAGAAGGAAAACATATAATTATTGCAAACGTTTTAGCAGTTTTACTTCACTGAATGTTGTCAAGGATTTTAATCTTGTACTGCGATCTTAATGTTTGCATTTCACTTAACTGATAATAAAAATAACATTCTGTATATTGAAGGGGCAGCGGTCGTGTGTTAGGAGCACACTGAATGTCTAAATCCCTTTAGAAACACCAATGCAATCTCACGGCAATTCGTAACTTTTTGATTTAGTGGCTAATTCGTATGAATTTGTACGATCTAATTCTTACAGTTCAGTACGATTTGCACATTCAATTCAAATCAATTCAGCTTTATTTGTATAGCGCTTTTACAATGTAGATTGTGTCAAAGCAGCTTCACATAAATGGTCATAGTAACTGGAACAGTGTGGTTCAGGTTTTAGTGTTTAAGTTCAGTTCAGTTCAGTTTAGCTCAGTTCAGGGTGATTTAGTCATTACTGAGAGTTCAAACACTGAAGAGCAAATTCATCGATGCGTAGCTCTACCAATCCTGAACCATGCGAGGCAGTGGCGACAGCGGAGAGGGAAAAAAAACTTCACCTGATGGGAGTGAAGAAAAAAAACCTTGAGGGAACCAGACTCAGTTGGGCACGACCATTTTAATTTCTCCACTGGCCAAAAGTCTTGTGCAGAGCTTCATTCACCGTGGTTTAGGCTGGAAGATGGCCTCAGCGAAGACTCGTCTGTCCCTGGAGCGTCGCTGGAATCAGACTCATGTTCTCCACTCCCCACGACCATCAGCGCAGCAGCAGCTCAGGATATGGAATCCTTGGGATCATCACGTCGCTGGTGTTGGATCCAATCAGTGACTCCGCATAATCTGAGGACCTCGGGATGAGTATCCCCAGGTGAAACACCACCCAATGATGGTTGGGTGCCACCCCTCCTTTTTAAAATCGTACATTTTCGTACGACTGAACTCGTATGAATTAGCCACTAAACTGACAAAACGTAAAATAGTTACATTTCCTCATAAAATCAGGCTAGAAACACAGACCTCAAGATTCTGCGCATGAATCTCAGCAATGTTGACATGCTTCTTGATGTCTGTGTGTGTTTTGAGTTATTCAGATGTTCAATGTTTTTATAACCTGAACAATAAACAACTGAAGGCTCTCATTTATGGTTATTATTGCAGTTTCATCGACAGCACATCACCATTATTATTTACCGATAAAAAGTAGGTACCCAGCACGCCTCGCAAAATGAAATAAATTGTAAAAATTGAATTGGATGTCACCATTGTTGAGGTTTATATGATGATTCTTGTTGTATTTACTACATGATTTCTTCTTAATGTTAAATTTGAATACTGAATAAAAAGGGTTCACTTACGCATTGTCCAAAACAAGCCCAGGAGTCCAAATTTTGTCAGCTGGCAACAGAACTGCTTTCATGTCAGATATGTTTTTACCCCATGCTAGATCAGGATCTGTCCACCGCTAATGGGAAAAGAAAATATTCTGAAAACATTTTGACCATGGTAAAACCAATAATCTTTTTCAACATGCGTTATAAAATCAGGACTTGTGCTTTATAAACAGTTTCTGATTAGTTTTATTAAATTTGTATTTTTTTTTTACATGAAAGATGTGTTCTTACCATGTTTACTGTAACTCGGCAGCTCATTTGCATTTCCTTTGTATCCTAAACATGATGGCAATGTAGAAAATATTGCACTATTATAAAAAAAATATTAATATAATTTATCTCAAATTTAAATCTGGAAGTGAAACGAATAAGTAATTCTCAAAGATTTGAGTTCACATAATTCCAGTTATACACAAAATACACTTTCAATCCAGTTAAATTTTGATATACGGTAGTTGCGATTATGAACATGAAAATGTTACTGACTGCAAAGTAATTATTTACAATGTAGTTTAAATGGTTAATCATGCTATTTCATATGAATTGGTTTGTTTTTCAAGCATGAAAAAAATCCATACTTACAAAAGACAGAGTCTCATAATTCATCGAAGTGACGTTTACAGTGACAGAAGAGCTGCTTCCCTGTGGTGCACTCTTCATTTTTTTAGCAATGATCAAATTTGCCAAACACCGACTGTCACATGAAGCTGCCAAAGCTGTCAGATCACATAAACACAACTTTCTAAATTCCATGTGACTAATAAATTAAAAGTGATGTACTGAAGGAGACCCAGTTTACCAATTGATACTGAAAAGATGAGGAACGACAATGAGATCCTTCGTTGAAGAACCATTTTACTCCCTAAAATCAAAACAAAAATCTTGTATTTAAAAGTTTATTGTTCCTAAACATTTAAGAAACTGATCGTCTTTACCTGATCCTGTGAATGTGAATGAGTGTTGGGGTCTCCATCTGTCACCTTTTGTAGTTTATCTAAACACGCATCAGTTGGCTTTTTGAAGGCTAGAAGCTCACGTCATATTCACACTAGGACAAACACAAAACAAAGCCAGCTAACATTCAAATTCATCCCAGTTTTTGTGTAAATTTAAGATTACGAGATTATGATAGACCTTCGCTTTGGCTTCAAGGCACTTTCCAATGTTGTCAATAACCTCCAGGCCTTCATTTGCCTCACAATCAAACACAAAACAAGTCTTTAAGCAGACAAATAAAGGGAAAACTGGCAGAACATTCAGAGTCAATACACATTTGCAAACTCTTTGTTTCCCTGATTATTTAGACGTGCCTAATGCCAGTAAATGCAGTAATGGACTGCTAAAAGCTGGAAAGAGCACAATGGTTAGTCTACATCTGGAGTCAAGAGTTATCCTTGTTAAAAAGTACTCATTATTTAATCACCCTGAAGTCATTGACACTGAGGATAAAACATATTTGAAATAAGCCATTATTTTTGTTTTAAATGCACACAAAAGTATTTGCATATCTTGGTAATATTCAGATTGAATCATATGTCATGTTTTCTGCGTATGTTTTTGGCTTTTTTGTGCTTTTAACAAGTTAGGAACCCTGCCGTCTATTTAAAATAAAAGGAACGTTCAGATTTTACCAACATCTCTGCCGAAAAATCCAGCTTACACCAGCCTATAGGCTGGTTGGCTAGTTTTAGCTGGTTGACCAGCCTGGTTTTAGAGGGGTTTAGGCCAACTCCTGGCTGGTTTCCAGCCATTTCCAGCCTGGTCTTAGCTGGTCAGGCTGGAAAACGACCAGCTAAATCCAGCTAAAAGGTCTCCCTTTGCATTGAACTCAGAACTTTTTACATTCAGAGATGTTGTTTATGTTCACACAGCTACATTACACATCAACTAAAGTTTAAAATATGATATCATAGTGGACCACCCCTTTAAGAGTTTGTCTGTACTCTTACAGTCATCTTTATCAAGGTGTTTCCCTCGAAGCATACCAGCTCGGATATTAGGCATGACTAATGGGGTAACAAAGTATTCTCTGGAATGGCAAGTAACTTCTCGTTGGGCTGATTTACACTCATTAGCTTGAAGAAAGATAACATCGGGTTTAACTCCTAAAGTGATCCACTTCTTGATCTGATCTATCAGCTGAGGGTGAATCTGCTGAAATGCCTTGTTCAGAGGAATTATCATGTCCAATGTGCTGTGTATATATATATATATATATATATATTCTCTGCAATGCAACTTTGTAACCCTTCCAGTCCTTTCTTACTTAACAGGAGTTGAATGCTTTACATCCAACAGTTCTGTGAGGCTTCTTT